TTACAATAAGCCATAGCCCTCTATAATTTCCTAGGCGATGGTTGTCTTTCACGGCAGGTAGCATTCAAAGATTCTGCAACAGGAAAACCGCAGGTAAGGATTTTGTACCTGCAGTAACGGTTTGTGGAATAACTAAAGAAGAAAATTAGGTTTGCTTCCTTGTGAAATTTGGGATTTGTAAGCTAAGTAGTCAAAGGATTATCAGTCAAATTCCCTCACTGAATCCTCTTGGTTCAACCACTCTTTCAAATATCCTTCGCAAAAAAATGCTAACCGATATCACGCATATCACCTCTTTTAATTGTAATTGAATACTTGAAGCCGTAAATATTCCAAACATAATATTCTGCGCGTAATCATAAGGTTCCTGAATGTATGAGAAAAAAGGAGCTTAACTCGACCGATTCCTATACAAGTTGTTCTCTTTTCCACTGTAGCACTCCATTTGTTTGGCGAAATGACTATCTGTCCATTAAACTATATTGGTTTGAGATAAATTAGCGCTTAAACCTTGGCCGTTCTACACTTCTGTAAACCTTTTCTTCACCAATTCAATCGAAACAACATTTATGCATTTCGTAAATTCGTAGCCCAAATTATCACACTATTTGATTATCTGATTCAAACAGTTTGCATGCCAGAAACTTATGAACTAAACTATAAATCCCTTTAAATTTTTACTAGGAAATTATTTTAAAGTGATACTGAATTCGAAACTCTGATCAAAGAGTCCTATGTACGACATGAGCCCAACTCAATCATCGATAGTTTAATTCTTGATGTTATAAGGGGGATTAAATCAAGGACTTACTTTCATAGAAGCAGGTTAATTTTTCTGAACTGTTCATCAGAATATAATCAGAAGTGTCGGACTTTTTTTAGATCTGCACATCAGGAAGTATGACGTGCCCACTTGGGTATTTCTGTCAATTTAGTCAAAGCAACAAGCAGTTCCAATGCTGTGGCATTCCAAGTGACTGCCCTCATCCAATGGTCAGAATTTCAGAATTTCTGTTGTGTCGTAAATGTCAGAGTTCATATTTTTAATTGTTTTATAGGTAGCCTTCATTGGAATTTCTGGCGAACACCAACATTGCTCTATGAGTGGAGGTCAAATGTGTCCCGAAGGATATAGCTGCGTCAAAGGAAAAAAAGGAGAAGAGATATGCTGCGCTGGTGGCGAAGGTTTGCTTTTTGTCAATCTTTTAAGCCTAAAATATCCATAATGATAGCTAAAAGGAAAAACACAAGCGAATACACTACTGATTCTACAAACACAGGTGCCACCTAAGTTAAAGGCAAAGCAGTGTGCTTGTTATAAGATTGTGTGGTGAATAAAACCGTATTTTAGCATGCGAGGTGACACAGGTATCAGTGGACGGCAGATGCTTACCCCTTCAGCACATCGGAAATAGGTGTGAGCATACCTCTCAGTGCTTGGGAGGATCCTTCTGCATTGAAAATGCCTGTCAATGTCCTTCGGGAATGGTAGAAGAAAAACAGAGATGTGTCAGTGAAATAAAAAGTAGGTGATGACAGGAAAAAATGAATTCTATACCAAAAAAACCTTTATTATTCATTTTTTAGGTTGTGCTTCAAATCAAGTTTTGTTCGATGATGAATGTTTCCCAGTGGTATCCTTAGGCAGAGCATGCGTTCACTCCATACAGTGTAGAGGTGGTGGAAAATGTGAAGAGGGAGTATGCACTTGCCCTTCAAACACTGTTAGAAAGGTTAGAACTTCGTACAAGCAGGAAATCACACTTCCGTATTTTCGAACATGGCTTTAAGCTCGAACGTTGCGAACAAAAAGAGCGCATTGTCGTTTCCACGTCTCCCAGTACTTCACTGCGCCCAGCTATTGATGGAACAACGGATCAAAAAGATGATAAACAAAAGACAGCTCCTGCCACAGGTATGGGGACTAAGTACAGTACAGAGGCTTCCATCAATTCTAATTTACTTCTATTACCAGCACAAGTATAATTAGAAGAAGTGGACTAAAAAAATCACATAACTTCTACTTAACTGTCAACTTTTCTTTTGGTCTATCCATACTCCTCTTCTTATTTTCATTGCAATAGTTGAACTGAGAAAAACTCCTTTTATTGGATAGTCAGACAAGTTTGTACCCTTTTGTTGAACTCAGAAATAAGAAATTCAAGCTTTGGCAGCACATAGTATGTCATTTGAAAGTAGAAGCCTCCCTTTACAAAATATTAGTTCGTAAAGAAAGTTCTTGCGGTTTTTAACCATTAACTTTAAACAAACATAACTCCGCTTAGAA